ACCCATAGCCCCGGGCAGAGTGAGTGAGTTGAATTGAATGAGCATAAATGCATAAAGTACCCGGGTAGTTGGGCAACCAAGCAATTCAAGAAGACAATTCCAAGTCTAATTATAAAAGTAACAGATCAGAGAGGAGGAGGAGGAGGAAGAGGAGGAGAATCAATGGGGGCGGCGGAAGGTGGCGGAGCACAAGTGGGGCCCACTTTGGAAGAGCTGAGGAAGACGTTCAGGTCGGGGAAGACGAGGGAGGAGTCGTGGAGAAGGTCGCAGTTGAAGGCTCTGATGCGCCTTCTTCAGGACAGGGAACATGACCTCGCCACTGCCCTCAAACAAGACCTCGGGAAGCACCACGTTGAATCCTTCAAAGACGAGGTACGTACGTTGTTCATCTCATATTTCCCCTTCTCTATATTTATATGTTTGCCAGTCTTTCATGATTAATCTCTGTTTTCCTTCTCCTGCCGGCCGGCCGGCCTCTAGATTGGACCACTCTTGAAGTCTGTAGACTTCGCCTTGGCTAACTTGAACACTTGGATGTCCGGCAAAAAGGTTCCTTAATTAATTACCCGCTTCATTTCATTACCTGTCCTGCATGGCCTAGTAGCCAGCCAATATAGGAGTTTAATGTTTTTGTTGCGTTTCGATCTCCCGCCAGGCCAAACTACCGTTAGCGGCATTCCCGGTAAACGCGGAGATCATCCCTGAACCATTGGGAGTAGTCCTCATTTTTTCCTCTTGGAACTTTCCAATTGGTACGTGGGAGAAAAACAAGTCTGGTTTTATTATTTTTTTCCCTTCTTCTTCGAGCTAAGTGAGAATGAGAATAATTATTATATTGTGTGTGCGTGAAGGGCTATCGTTGGAGCCGATGATCGGGGCAATAGCGGCGGGGTGTGTGGGGGTGCTGAAGCCATCTGAGCAAGCCCCGGCGTGCTCGTCGCTCCTGGCCGAGTTGATCCCGGCTTACTTAGACCCTAAGGCCTTTAAGGTCATTGAAGGTGGGGCTTTGGTTTCTGAGGTTTTGTTGGAGCATAAATGGGACAAGATTTTCTTTACAGGTATAATATATGATTTGTGTATGTTGCCGCCCCTTTCCCTCTATTGCTTTTTGTATTCTTATTCATCCTTCATTTGAGGGATATTATCGTCATTTAGCTTTGAGTGTTTGCGTACATTCTGATAGAGACTAAAGAGAGAGTATGCTAAAAAAAAAGAATTGTTAAACGTTACAGTTGGGGGCAAATGTAAATGCTCTCTTCATTTGTAATCTCAACATCCCTTTAATTAGCTTAACAATATACTAATTGCTAAAAAGAAAAATTCATTTCCTTCCCTTGGAATTTGATTTTTCAGGCAGTGTACAGGTGGGTCGCGCCGTTATGACCGCGGCAGCAAAGCACCTGACTCCGGTCACTTTGGAACTGGGAGGAAAGTGCCCCGCGGTGGTCGATTCCCTTTCCCGTTCTTGGGATAAAGATGTAATTAATAACGTCACACTCATTCGCATACATACGCACGCAAACACACGTACCCCACGTCTCTCATACGTGCGCGGGTGGCTCCGGCCCGGGTGGGACCCACCTGCTACATGTATCAAGGGTACGGTGTGTGTCTGTGTGTGTCAATATTGCTCTAATTAATCCAAATCCTTAGCTTAATTAATAACAATGTATCGGCAGGTTGCGCTGAAACGGATTATTGCTGGCAAATTTGGTGTGTGTTCTGGGCAGGCATGCATTGGAATTGACTACATTCTTGTAGAAAAGAAGTTTTGTAATGAACTGGTATTTAATCATTAAATGTATCTTAATTGGTGGGTTGTTGTGGTATAAATGAATGGGGTCATGGGATGGTATTAATTCTCAGGTAGAACTTATGAAGAAATATATGAAGCAACAGTTTGGACAAAATCTGAAAGAAATGCAGCAATCACTTGCAAGGATAGTCAACAAGAAGCACTTCTTGAGGTTGAAAAATTTGTTGGATGAGGCTCAGGTCAAATCTTCCCTAGTCTATGGTGGCTTGCTTGATGAAGAAAATCTGTGAGTATAGCATATATATCTCCATCTGTTCACCTTTCTTTCAATTCAAGAATTTTTGCTCTTTTTTAATCTTCTCATTTATTTAATGCAGAGTTAAGTTGGACCGTAAATTTTTATCTTAAAATTGGGAAGGGGGTATTATTAGAATATAGTCGGAATTTTTCAAAAATTACACGGTTTATCCTTGAACATTAAAAAATGCACCAAGTACTCCTGAATTCTTCAGTAATTGTAAGTTCGTCGAGGCGCAGCGGAAATCACCAATTAAGAGCTATGCAAACAAATCAATCCACTATGTTACAGTGAAGATACTGCAGCATTGTTACATTAACAAATGACAGACAGAGTGCTATAACACTTCTCTGTCACAAGCACACAGAGAAGCAGATGATGCAGAGAGCGTTACAGCGTCTACTGGGCAGAATGCTGTAACTATAAAATGCGTAAAAAAGAACACCAGATATGTTTACGCAGTTCGGTAAACTCTCCGAGTCTGCGAGGCCCACGTCCGTGTAATAGTTCTCCACTATATCACTAGATGCAAGTTACAGCGGTTCATAACAACATGATGAGACACACTTCTCCAAATTGTTATGACAACTTCTAATCTAGGATTTCTAACCCGAACTTTGTTCAGATCCGCTTCGGCTATCACATCTCCACCGAGATCACGAGGACAAACGTGTTGGCAGCCCTCTCCTTAAGCTCTTGTCCACCTCCTGGTTGTCACGATCTTTTTTCATTGTAAGACTCCTTCTTCATGTAGATCGTATCTTTCTTCACACAAGGGAAGCTCCGGGACGCGACGGGAATGCTCTACATCAGCGTATATTCTTTGTTTTCCCTCTCAATCGCTCCAAGTAATTCCTAGGGACATGCTACGTTTTTATAGGCTTCTCTTGACACACTCCTAGTAGGAATAGGTTAGTAGAAGTTGGCTTGAACTCAACTTCCTTAATCTGGATCCACAATTAGGCTAAAGAGATGGGATTCCGTAACAGGTACAGCTGGAGTTCTTATCATGTAGTCACAATCCCAATAGGTATCTAATTCAGATTGCAGCTTAAAATCCCGTGCTCAGACCTCTGATCCCGAACAATGTGTTACAACATCGTGTTGTAGCATCTTCGGTGTCAACCTCGAAAACTGCAGCAACTCTAGAAATCTAAATAAAATAAACCTCTCCTAACAAATAGAGGTTTCTACTTAGTAAAACACCTAACAAATATGGGATTCTATTTTGCCAAAATATTAGCCAACACCAGGGAACTAACAGTAATTGCACGATTTACCCTTAAACATTAAAAAGTACAGTGTACCAAATATTTCTGAAATCTTCGAAAATTGCACGATTTACCTTTGAACATTTAAATAAAAACGGTAATTTTGGGGAACTTTGGAGAATTCACTAGGGCGAGACGAATCATACTCGCATTCCCGTGCGTGGGAGCAATGCACTCCCAATCTAGAATTTTAGGACCAACAATGCAACGTGGCACACTTTTAAATTAAATCATGCAATTTTCGTAGAGTTCAAGGGTAAAAGATGCATGTTTTAATGTCCACGGGTTTATCATTCAGTTTACAAAGAGATTGAGAGTAAACAGTGTACTTTTCTCTATTGGAATTACTTTAATTTGAAATGTAGTTTTCGAATTTTAGAAATGAAGCGTATACACTCTCTCGCAGGTTTATTGGGCCAACTTTGGTGGTTGATCCTCCACTCGATTCTGCAGTCATGACAGAAGAAATATTTGGTCCAATTCTCCCCATAATAACAGTAAGCATTGATTCTTAGAAATGCATACATCTCGTCTGTCGGCGTTGCGCAGTTGGTAAAAAAAAAGTGGCAAGGAGGTTAGACTCGAGTTCGACTCCTAGTAACAGCAATGCGAGGCGACTATGCTAGGCATAGAACCTCTACAAGTACCAAATGCAAAGTACACTCTTTGCAACTAGTCTGTGATAAAAGTCCAATTTACTTTCTCTCAGGTGACCGTCTGCCCGGTTCTGAGATACCCTCAGGACTGGAGTTCATCTTTTTTTTTTTTAGAAATGCAGTTATGTGTGCAGCTGGTCAGCTGCTTTTTCAACATGCATTTATTTATTTATTGTCATTTTGTGTGTTGTTTAAAACTAACTAACTATTATGACNCCCCCCCCCCCCCCCACACACACACACAGATGGAGAGAATAGAGGACAGTATTGAATTTATCAACTCGAGACCAAAGCCCCTGACCATTTACGCCTTCACTCACAACGAATCACTCATGAACATGTTGGTGTCCCAGACGTCTTCAGGAAGTTTGGTGTTCAACGATGCAATCATCCAAGTAAGACAAACAAACTCTCGAGAAAACGTATCCAAACTTGATAGCTTTTAGTTTTAGCGTTTTTGTAAAGTAATTTGTACAAAGCTCCAGTAGTTCTTTATTCTTTAATTAGTTTAAAGAACATCCTATGGATTACGTTTTCCTTTAATTATTTTTTAAATTTAATTTTTTTAAAACAACAAATTTGCAGTATGCAGCAGACACGCTTCCATTTGGTGGAGTTGGGGAGAGCGGGATAGGGAGATACCACGGGAAGTTCTCGTTTGATACGTTCAGCCATGAGAAAGCAGTGGCCAAAAGGAGCTTCCTCGTTGATTTTTGGTTCAGATACCCACCGTGGAATCCTCACAAGCTGCGGCTTTTAAAGGCTGGCTACAGATTCGATTATCTCAGCTTTGTTCTCATTCTCCTCGGGTTGAAGAAGAGGTATTAGCGAGCCGGCTCACCACTCAGGAGATATATTTGTGGCACGGGGATCCTTTTCATCTGTTTTCGCTTATCTTTATATAACTACAATAACGGCAATAACTTTCCCACATGTTGTGAGCGAATTATTAAGTCGGGTTTACATAAGCATATCAGTATTTACTTAATCATGCTTACATCTCATCCAAAAGAAAACAAATTTTAATTCTGCATTTAGTAACAATGTCACAGATCAAGATGGTAAACCAAAATTAGTAGTCTAAACAAATGGGCACTAGAGGTTTTTAGGATCTGCATGATAAGAGATACAAACAGCTCTTTATTCAGAAGAGCTGCAAAATCAATAAGGAAAAGCCATACCACTGACAAATATATGTATGCATTGGGAACATAGCATTTCACTGGAGAACCACCAGGCTTGGGAGTAGCATGTAAAATGCTGAACTAGGTTTCATTTATCCCTTTGAGAATGTCATTACTCATTACAAAAATTAAACCATATTGAATCACTACGAGGTATGATTTAGATCGGAAGGGATTATTATTATGCCTTTTGCCACATTGTCCTGCCTAAGATGGCACTTGCATGGACGGCAAGGTAAGAAGCATTTAACCTATCAAAACAAAAATTCAAAATTGTTATACTCTTGGTATATATCATTTCTTCTTCTTTTTTTTTGGACAACTGAAGTCATTAAATTTACCCATTTTCATTATAAAATAGACACATCTTACAGTATGCGGTGAAATGTGCATTTACTGAGAATGTGAAAGGGAGGGCAGGTTTACCTGTCAACATCAGGTGTGGCCAAGGGGTCGTGTCTTTCTTCCTTTTGGTCCATAGCCGGGGCAGTGAGTGCCATATCTTGAGCTCCTTCACTCTACATCATAAACATTTTACAGCGTTTATGCATTGTTTGGGTGATGAGAGAAAAAGAAGAAAAAAACACTAATGTTTGGATGGCTCGAAAATGAAGGGAAAAAATAGATGGGAGAAGAAGTCGGCCATGAGGAGATTAGTGGTGGGAGAGGAGCCGCCGTTTTAACTTCAGTGTAGGAGGGATTTTTTTATGGGGCCCACAACCAATTTTCGTTCCCTTCCCATTTTCTTTGCAAAACAAACAAGAGAAAATGCCTCGTTTCGTGTGTTTTCTCTTCTCCTTTTTTATTTCCTTCCATTTTCTCTTGAATTCTTGATCCAAACGGAGGCTTAGGGTTTCAAGTAACTATCACCATTTTCTTCTTTCCTTTTTGGCATTTTAAGCATAGGAATAATAAATCCAATTTCCAATCCTCCTCTCATGAACCCTTCATCATCTGACACAGGTGAAATGATGACTGCCAAAGTCTGAAATAATATTTTTACCTGTTGAGGGTATTGGGTGTAGCCAGGATAAGCACTATATGCATACATGGAAGCATCTTGAGTGGTTCCATAAGCATATGCATCATATCCCTGTCCATAGCCATAATAAGCACTCCATTGGCTTGCATCAGCTACCTGACCCCATTGACCAGAGTCCTAAAGGTATAGATGATCAAATAGTCAATATTTGGAAAGAAAACAGACAAAAAAACCTCTATTGGTGGACAAAACAATATCAAATAGTCAGTCACCTGTTTAGCAGCTGGGCTCCTACCCCAATACACACGAACTATTTGTTGACCAATCATAGTTCCACTCATCCTCTGAATTGCTTCTTCAGCAGATGCCCTACATCCACAAGCTTTTTTGCATAAAAACTACTGTATATGGGCTAAAGAAAGAATACTAATCAAGTGACCGAAATGGTCTTTTCAACCGTCACCCTGGTAAGAACAGACCTTGCAGCAAACTGTACGAAAGCACATGCTTTAGAAGCAACAATCTTGACATAAATAATTTCTCCAAGTTGCGAAAAAATTTGTCGCAGTTCCTCCTCTGTAACATTAGGGTCAAGATTGCCAACAAAAACCTGCAATCCAGAAGGAACAGATGAGATTACTAGGGTAGAAAAGCATGAAAGTCACAAACATATGAAGCTTGCAACTCACAGTAGTGTTATTGATGTCACTTTCAGGAACTGTTGGTATCACAGTAGGATAGACTGCACTTGGATATACTGCTGCAAAATATTTATAAAATAGAAAAATCGTAAGTAGATTTTTGTCTTGCTAATAAAGCCAGACACATAAAATAGGATTAATGGAGTACCATACACACACAAAAAGGTGCTAGACCCATATTCATAATCCATTCCTCAATTTTGCATGTCCATTCCCATTCAGATTATTAAAACTGTATGAAATGCCCCCCAAACCCCAAAAGAAAAACAAAAAAAATACTGATTCTGCATGGTATGGAAATTCATTAGGCATTTAACAGAAGTTTCACAGAAGGCTTATTAAAAAAATGCAAAAAATTATTGATATAATTGTAAGAAAAAACAACAACAACATTACGCCAATGCCTCAAAGGCTCCCACAGTCCCACCCATTGCGGGGTAAGGGAGGATGGATGTACGCAACCTGACACCTATTTTTAAAAGATAGAACGGCTGTTTCTAGATGACCCATGATGAGCATTTAACATTGCATTGACTAACTGTTACTTCACTCTTAAAGAAGCGCAGACAATTTCAAGATTCATTTTGCTTTATTTCAATACCCCAAAGCCAAAATAGGGAATCTTTGGCTCCATAGGAGATGATGGAAAAATGATTATACGAAACACTGGTTTCATATTAAACTATCAATGCGATTCATTGGCTTCACGCCTTCTACTGAAAAATGAAACAAACAAAATCATGCTTGATCCATAAAAAAACATCCAGTCATCAAAAAGGTAAATGACATTAGCCTAAAACAAACAAAAATAAAGCGAAGAAAAGCATTAAAAAGGGCCATCAGGGTGTTACTAAGCCGTTCCGAGACACAGGGTAAATCATGAAGATACAACATGATAGTTATATAGATAGATAGAATGTTACCCTTGGCTACGGCATAAGGCTGTGGAAGGCCGCTGGCTTTTTTTGGTGTTGCCGCACTTATGCGCATTGGCCTACTAGAGCAATAGGCACCATTCATCTCACTCATGGCACGGTTTCTTTCTGCCTCGTCAGCAAATTTAACAAAACCATACCCCTTGGATCGTCCAGTGTTTGGATCAGTGACAACCTTAGCTCCTCTCACAGATGCATAATGAGCACGGAATGTATCTTGCAATAAGTTGTCCGTAACATCTGGAGCTAAATCACCTACAAAGATGGAATGCTCGGGACCAGTATCACGCCGTTCCCCAATACCAGATGATGCCCAATTTAACCTGAAAGTCAATTGGGTGTTTGGAATTTGTGTTCCATTGTAAGACTGTAAAACATGCTCAGCTACAGAATGTGAGGTGAACTCCACAAAACCATAACCCTCAGGCTGTCCGGTGCCCCTATTTCGAATTACTTTAATTGAAAGAACCTACACCAATCACCAAGATTCATTTAGAAAATGTTGAAAGATTTCAATATTAATTGATTGACTAATAGGGCCAATTAGAAGACTAATTAATCCTGATTGATTTAACATACAACAACAACAACAAACCAACTTGAATCCCACAAAACATAGGGTCTGTGGAGTTTGAGTGTAGGCAGACCTTACC